GTACAGTTGGGAAAGGTGCAGCCACCAGTTTCTGACGCCGGGCCAAGACTTCCCCTCTGCGCGTCCTAGAAGGGAGGCTAATTCAGGCCAAGAGGCAGAGGGTTAACAAAGTTATCCAGTTAAAAAATGTGCATTCGCACCTGACTTTGCTAACCTCTGAGGACTGACTTTCCTTCTTGCCCCACTGGGAGGAAGCAGGCACACTGTCTGTAAGGAAATGAGGGCGATTGTTTTTATTTTTTGTTTGGTTCTTGTTTTTTTAGATTTTTGCCATAGGGCTCCTAGGCTTGCTGGAGAGAGACAGAGACAGAGAGAGGGCAAGTGAAAAATCATTCCCCAGGGAGGTGACCACATCGCAATCCCTTCTCCTACATTCTCTTGGGATTTTGTGCACGTAGGCACACGTTCAGCATGTTTTTCAAGCTGCTGGTCCAGGACTCCAACTGCGGAGTTTGCCAGGTGGGGTCCAGCACATTAATCACCATGTTGATCATTTTAAAGCAATTTACATGTTGTTGACTTACAGAATATTTACACTGATCTCATTTATTATTTAGATCCAGAGTTCAAAATCCTGTCTTACAACTTGGAAAAGAAGAGGTAAGAGCTCTTTTCCTAGGAGGTAAAGTGTAAGCAATTGTGTGAGAGAATTTGTAACACTGACACATTACATACTCTCATACACAGACTCCTCCCCGTTCCTTTCAGCATGAGGTCACAATCTACACAGGAAAAACACTATGGGTGGAAATGAAATTTTTTTTTAAAAGAGTTTTGTTATAGGGCATGTGTGCCCACAGGAGCAGAGAGAGAGAAACAGAGAAATCACCCCCTAGGGTTGATGACTATGCTATAACCCCTTCTCTTCCATTCTCCTCTTGGGATTTTGAGCACACATGCCCATGTGCCTGGTGGGTTTCTCCAGGTCCAGGACTCAAAGAGTCAGCCATGTGGGAACCAGTGTCTTAATCATACCTTAACTACCATGCTACCTGCTGGCCCATGAATAGTCCTTTTAAAAATTTTTTTTTATTGTCGCTTTTTATTTACTTTATTTCATGATAGAGACAGAGGAAGAGAGACAGAGAGAGAGAGAGACACTCCAGTTGGAATTTCCTGCCAACATCTACTTCCAGCCTCAGTTGGCATGCCCATGGGGGTCTCAAGATACAAACCCAGGACCTTTCCCATGTGAATCCAGTTGCAGTACCACTCTGCCACCACTTGGTCCCCCAAATACACTCTTAAAGTTGTGGATCACACTGTCTTCAGAGTAGATCTGGCTGCTGACATAACAGAGCCCCCCAAAAATGTGCTCATTGCTGATGTTTTTGGTCAAAACATGAAAAATCTGGATGCCATTATGGTTCTTACTTGAATGTTCTTAAGGAAACTAAGCTGGGTACTGAGAGGGTCATAGGACATGAGGCTAAAGACGATGGGGGACAAAGCTCACCACCCAGAAGGAAGGTTTATGAAAAAGTATTCATGAAAGGAAACAGACCAACTCTGGGTCCCTCAGTTTGTTTCTGCTCGAAAACTCATTTCCAGATGTTTTCCTTTGGCTGTACTGTCTCACTCCAAAGTGTACTCCCTTGTAGTCTATCTGTTTAATTATAACACCTGGCTTTCTTACTCTGAGACCTTTGATTTTTCCTCCCTCCTTTTCTTATGTTTCATCCATACTGTGAATCTGAGTACCAGGTCAGTATGAAGTCATAATCCGTGGTTCTTACTCCACCGTATTATCATTTAAGAAAAACGACACCAAATATGAAAATTACACTAGATAGATTCACAATCATGGAAAGCATTTCAAAAGCAGCAACAGCGATAAAAATCTAAGTCTTTAGAAAAGTAGATCTGAAAAGCACCAAATAAGTCAATTTAGAAGATTATGGGTGTCGGGAAATAGTGTTGCTAATGCAGCTAAATCTCTCTGAAAATGAACATGAAATTATCATCTATTTAGAGATATTTATTAATTTTTTTCCTGAAACCACAGTGCAATACTTCATTTCCTAAACAAATTTCAAAGATGTAATGCTAGTGAATGTCCCATCTTATATATCAATATTTTAGATAAATGAACCTGTGTAAAATTGGGTATAAATAAAACCTGGATGGACAAGTGATTAAAATAAGTCATTTTTAATGGTTTACATAGAATACAATTTATCCTAATACCATAAGAACATCATGACAAATAAAAAAGAATATTTTTGTGATGCAAATGCTGTTTCTAATGCACAATGTAACAAGCAAATGGAGAAAATGTATTAATACATTGAATTGTTATTTGAAATGCAAATACACATCCATGTATATGTACACGGATAACTATTTTTCACACTCCTTTTTCTAACACCTATTGTAACATAGGAGTAAGAAGTTGAACAGGAGACAGCTCGGTAGCAGCAACTTTTTTTTCTCCCCAAGATATTTGGCTGTAGAGTGCATAAGCTTGTCAGAGAGACAGAAAGCAAAAAATCACCTTCCCCCGGGGGATGACCATGCTGTAATCTCTTCTCCTGTATTTTCTTTTTGGGATTTTGGGCATGCATGTACATATGCCTAGTGTGAGTTTTAACGGGAGTCCAGCGATGTGACCATTATGCCATTTGCTGGTCTCGGCAGCAGTAGCTTTTGAGGAATGACTTGGAAACCAGTTGCCAGGAACTCTACCGCAGGCTCTTTACCACCTGGGCAAAACCGTTGCACCTCTCAAAGCCTCTACCTCTTCATCTGTAAATAGAGGCAGCTGGACTAGGTGACCTTAAGATCCAAAAGCCTATTGATTTCAAGGGGATGACAAAGCACAGACTATGCTGTAAAAATCATTGTCAATACTTGAGAAATAACTTGGATAGTCATATTTTCCCCTTCCTTTATGGTGGTAAGAGAGAGAGGGAGGGAGAGAAGGATAGGTGTTTTTGGTTGGAACCCACTGTGTCACGACCCTCCTCCCTGTCTCCACATTGGCTAGGATTATATGTGGTATAAACCAACGTGCTCAAGTTGGCCAGGGTATGGAACTCAGCCTCCCATGAGGCTTCCAGCCTCCTCAGCAGCAGTGCTGCTGGTGACTGAGCTGATAGTCATATGTTTTGAGAACATTATGGTGGCCAAAAGACTTGCTTATTTTTGTATAACTTCCTTCCCCTGTACAATCTTTTTTTTTCTTTTTGAGAGGTTTTTGCCTTAGAGCATATGCACACCAGAGCAAGAGAGAGACAGAGACAGTGAGAGGGAAAGTGAGACCCCCCCCCCAAGGGGAATGGCCACGCTGCAATCCCTTCTTCTCCATATCCCTCTCGGGATTTTGAGCACACGTGCACACGTGCCTGGCATGATTTTTAAGCCACTAGGTCTAGGACTTGAACCATGGTCAGCCACGTGGGAGTCCAGTTATACAACTGCGGTGCCATCTGCTGGTCTCCCTGCCCCATACAATCTTAAATTTACTAATTTTGTAGGCTTGAGAAAAGAATAAATGATACAAACAGAAGACATTAAAAACCTTTAACATCTTGAGGTTCTTTCGATTTATTTACTGTTGTACTGTAGGGATAGTATGGGGTGTTTGGTTTTGGCTTGGACATACCACAGACTCTCAGGTCTCTTTGAAGGTGTTGCCTTGCAGAGACCAGAATATTCCCACCTATGATGTCATAACTATAAGTAAACATACCTTTGCTTGCAATGTCTTGTGAAATTATAGATTATCATTAACCTGTATCTGTAAGTTATCGTTATAAATATCACTTGTACTTTTGGTACATGTGCTATTGCAACTGGAATTTATTTTGCCAATGTGGCCGCGGCCGGCCCGCCTCCGCCCGCGGGGGGCGCAGGGAGGTAAGCCCGCGCCCCCGCCCCTTTCAGCACTCGGAGAGCTCTCCATCTCTGCCCGAGTCAGCAGTGCACCCCGGAAAATCCCCCCAGCTGTAATCAGGCCAGAGGCACCGGAGTGATGTCATTGTTTGTGGAAATCTGTCTGGCTCTGGAAAGGGAATTACAGAGTGTGTCGCTCTCTGAGGCCCCGAGAGGAGCTGGGGCACCCGCCTCTTCCTTGCAAAACAACGAGCTCTCTCTCTCTCTTCCTCTTCCTCTCTCTCTCTGTCTCTGACTCTCTCTCTCTCTCTCACACACACACACATACACACACACACGGCGTACTGCCTTCCGTTCTCCCGATAACAAAGCAAATATTAAACCTCCTCCTGCTAGTTTGCAATTCCCAGG